GAGTGGTATACAACTTAGTCCTACCATGAGGGAAAACTGGCAAGAAAATAGGACAAAATTTGTCTCAATTTTAGTTGCTAAACTTAGTTTTATAATTAACTTGTGGGTGCAAAATTTGACTTCAAAATCAAAATTAACTTGTGGGCGTAATTGAAGGGAGTGGGGGGGGGGTGTTTTCGGGTTGGGGCTGGGTGGGGGAGGTTTATTGGGGAGGTTAGGGGGTAGAACCGTCAATTTTCGATAAATAGTTGTTTATATTTATATTATTCTATTTTCTTATTTTCAATTCTACCTTATTAAGAATGATCTAGATTGTGAGTAAAGATTTTGAAACATATCAAACTGGTTTTCATTATGAACAAGAGATCTATGCATACGTAGAGTCAAGAATAACTCTAATTACAATCCTAATAAGCGTGGTAACATATTTAAAACTCATTTACAATTTTACTCGTCAACATCTTCAAGTTGGGATATGAAGATTACAAATACCCAACTTCGATAATAAATATGAGCAAATAAGCCTAGATAATCTTTTACTTAACAAATTAGCTAGCAGTATATGTGTGGAAACTTGAACGATAACAATCTTGTGGCGTTGAACACATTCACAAATGATGTTACTATTAATGTCGATATGTTTCATGTGTTCGTGAACTACTGGGTTAGTTGCAATGAACAGAGGTGATTGACTATCACAAAACAAGCGTGGAGGGACAACACAAGGTACTCCAAGTGCTGCAAGAAGCTCGTGCAACCAACGTAGCTATGTTACTTTGCTTGAGTAGATGATTGAGCCGGGAGGCAAGAGTCAGACTCATGATTTTCAATGAGACTGTATATCCACCCAACGAAATAAAATACTCTAGTTCACATGCCAAGTGAGTGAACAACTAACCCAATTAGAATCCCTCCTTAGATGTCTTTAAGGTATCGACGGACATGTATGTCAATTGCCATGTGATTAACATGATGTGCATGCATAGACTACACTAGAATATGGACAAATTAAGATAAGTTAGGCCCAATGATAGTATAATAAATCAATCGACCCACAAGGCGCCAATAACATGTTAGATTCGTCACTAATGCATTTGTAGGTTGAGCCATACATTGAACTAGCTTAATAGGAGTATCATTCAGCTTACACCCTAGGAGACCAACCTCATGTACGATATCTAACACTTACTTTTACACACATAACATCATGCATTCGGACGAAAGAGTCTCAATATATGCCCAAGAAGTAAGTCAATGGACTTAAAAGTAGCACGCGTAGAATTCTTATTACTACCAAAAACCATAGCAGCACAGAGTGGTAATGAGCTTAGCTAACCAAAGGAAAAACCTTTTTGGGATATAAGAGGTAGTGGAAAATACACGCCCCCCAATAAGATTACTGTGGGAAAAAAATTCATTAGGAATACAATTGTTTGGTAGCATCTATCAATCGTATGCGCAGTTCGACCGTAGTGAGTGGACATGAGGGCGTCAAGGTTTGAGAGCCAGCGAACGACAAATGTATCTACCTCACCGTGATTGTCACAACTGTGAATGATGATATGTTGGTGCTCCTCTTGATGGACGACCTAAGCATATGACATATCTATTAGGATTTGGAATTGGTTAGGTCCGGAGAATTTGGCATTGGATGGAGCCAAAATGTTTGTCATCTAGTCCCGAACAAATTATTAGTCTTTTCACGCTCTTCCCAAGCATGAATGAGACTAGCCAACTCGCATTTACACCCACACTACATATGATAAACAAAGCGTACAATTGATTCCACAATAACAAATTGATTGTAGTCAACTACTATTTGACCCCTTTTAGTGTTGTGATTGAAACTCCGACTTCAACTAGTGGACACGGGGTCTATTCAAACTACCTTATCAAGCCCTTAAGTCTATGCATAATTCATGTGAAATGTTGCGAGGTGCAACATAAGACCGGATAAACTCATTAATACTGTTGACAATCCAATTACAAATAATAAAGTTCTTCACCTTCCATGCAATGAGTCCATATTTATTTGTGGGCTTGGGAGACCCAGTAGTAGTTAGGAGCCCCGCACGACTACGATCCTCTAATTAATTACTAATTGTCTTTTTCCAGATATCGAAGTTGCCTCCACGAAAGAAATATTTTGTTAGAGATTTAACTAGACTTTCTGAAGGATGAAAATACTAAACGGAGGATATATCATGAATGAGACAATACTTTTAGAAACTCTTTGCGGCAAACATGGCTATGTGATGCACGACGGATCACCACAGGTCCACAACACTAACTCTCGACATCGGGATACAACGTTACATTGAGCGGGCGACAAAAGGCAGAACACATGTTAAGACAACTAGAGTTTTACGACCCTAGGGTTTTAGGTGGTTCAAAGCTTTGGCTGTATTACCACGAATATTTTTAGATAAATCAAACCCATTTTTATTATAAATAATCTAGAAAAGTATATTCACATTGTCAAAAGAGTAACCCTAACTAGAACCCTAATAAGCTCCATAACACAATTATACCCCATATACAACTTTTTTATTCCTTTGGAGCTTGTAATAGAAACACAAAATGCGAAAAAAAAAAACTAAATTAGTGTTCCAACTCTACCAATTTTGGTCAAAAATTCAAAATAAACACTAAAAAAAGGCATATTATGAAATATGAAATGCGAGTATATGTTGTCGTTTTGCTCGGTAATTAGGACGCTGCCAAGCGGCGGCCTTGCCTTCCTCGTGGAGAGAGCACAACACGCGCACCCGACTGACAACTCCGCTAACGCACTGCCATTGCCTTCCGTATCATCCATGGCTGGGGAATCCCTAATTTCATCTCCCAAACCCTCTCTCGGCCGCCTCCCACTTCCGATCCTGACTGATATCCGACCACCGCTGTGCCGGTTCTCTCCGGTTTCATCCTTCGTCGCCTGAGGACGTCTGGTTCGCTCCGGACCATTTTGTCTTGCTCCTGTTTGTTCATAGGTTATTCGAGCATTTCTTCTTTGTTTTCCATATTCTAGCTTGATTTTTCACTTATGTCGTTTGCATCGCGTATACCTCATTTTGAGCTTTGGTTTTTTCCTTTTTTGTTTTTTTGTTTCAGGTGACGGAGCTGCGAGGATCTCCGCGGCTGTAGATTTTTGACGGTGGTAAGTTATCTACGGAACATGCTTAACATTCACTCATGAGACCTGGTGCTGTGTTTTCCATTCTGTGTGCCAAATTTCTTGCTCCCTTTCATGCACAGCATCTTTAACCCGATTCATCAGTGCTTACTTTTTTCAACTGTAGTTTTGTTTCATGTTCTATGGGAAATAGGTTTTCAAATGCTTAATGTGCTCTTTTGTTTTCCATCAATTTTCTGCCAATAAATATTGGGTGCTAGGAATACCATAATCTGGAGTTACATTTGATACCAGTCAAAGGTACCCTATGTTGTTGCTTTTTTTCCCCGCTTTGATGTATCATCCTGTTTTTCTGCCTGTGCTTGTGAATTGTGATTTCTATAAACTATTGGTTGGTGTTTGAGACCTAATATTAGCGAATTTAGCGGATTTGAAGAAATATAAGGGCTGTTTGAATCTCAAATATTAAATTTGTAGGGTGATTTAAGTATTTAACTTCAATTTGTTTTGGGTATTAGCCTTTTAGGAGTGAGTTAGGTGTTAGAGGGGGCCTTTGTAGGAATTTGTAATTTTGTTTGTTGTTATGTACCCACCCGCAACCCCACCTAGTGGGATAAGGCTTTGTTGTTGTTGTTATGTACCCACCCTTTCTTTTTCTGCAGTTTATTTTCCCCTTACTCTTTTTCCCTTGTTATCTGTTTGTTTTTAAATGTTTTGTTGAGATGAGCCTTTAGAAAACCTCTCTACCTTTATAAGTTGGGGTAAGGTCTACTTGTGGGACATTACTCGGCTGTTATCGGTTAAGATATAATGATTTGTTTTCATTTTGATTCATTGTTTACCCTCAAATAAATTTTCTTACNCTTTTGTTGAGATAAGCCTTTTGAAAACCTCTCTACCTTTATAAGT